CTTGAAGGCGCACAGGGCGGACTTCCGGTCCGCCTGCCTGTCCTTGGAAAAGACTCCAAACAGATAAGGCTCCGACTGGATGTGGGCTGCGTGGACGGACACCAGCCGGTTGTAGATGTTCTCGTTGGTCCCACACTGCAGCGGCAGCTGGATGTAGGACTCGGTCAGCTTCCTGCTCTCCGGTCCGGAGGTCTTCCTCGGGTTCTCGGTGTCCAGGCAGATCCGGGCCAGGACGCTGTTGGGCGCGCTCTCCTTGTGGCCCAGCTTGGCGTCGTTGTTGAAGGCGATGTAGGAGTAGGTCTTGTGGAGGAAGGCGCGCACGAAGTTCAGCTTGTTTTTGCTTTTGACCTCCTGCTTGATCTTGAAGACGTTGTCCTCCGACGGGTTGATGTCGTAGGTGAACAGCCGGGACACGTCCTTGGTGTTCAGGGAGCGGATGGCGATCTCCGGCGTGTTCTCGAAGCGCAGGTCCTCCTTGCTGTGGTTTTTGGGGAAGAACTGGGTTCCGGCGCCCGTGTACGTGGCCCCGACGATCAGGCGGGTGTCCCCCCCGTGGCTCTTGAATATCAGCCCCACCGTGGACGCGTTCGGGTGGTTGGCGGCGATGTTGAGCATGCTGGGGAACACCGTCTTCTCGCCCGCAGGTGGGAACTCCACCGCTATCTCCGAGATGTTGTCGGATTTTCGGAGCTCACAGAAGCCCTGGTACACGGAGCCGCACAGCACCACCACGCCCTGCTCTCCGTCCAGCTCCAGCAGCTTGTTGTAGTTGTCGGTCAGGGACTTGGGGTGCTCGCACGGAGCCTGGGGCAGCTGCGGCGCATGGCACAACAGGTTGTCCTGCACCGGTCCGGTCCTCGTCTCCACCTCCGGGCTCAGGGTGCCGTTGAGCTGGTAGACGGAATTGACGGTGGCCATGTACACCCTCCCGGACACCGGGTCCACCACGAAGTTATTGGTGTGGTTTGGAGAGGAGAACGCGTACTGGATGAGCAGCGCGCTGGAGCTGCTGCGCGTCTCCAGAGCCAGGACTCCGAGGAGCTGCAGAACTATCACCTCCGAAGGAGACATCTTTCCTCCTGACCGGCTTCCGCGTGTTGTGAGCCGTGGGGAGCATTGAGTAGAGACAAAAATGTGTGTTTGTTCCTGCAGCGACAATCCGAGAGGAAAAGCTGTTTCCTGCTCAACACCGAGGCTCAGAGTGACGCGATAAGAGATTCGTGCTTCCTCTTCAGGCTGCCTCCCCCCCGTCCTCCTCTCTGTCCTCCTCTCCTCTGTCCTATTCTTCTCTCCCCTCTCTGTCCTCCGTTCCGCTCGTCTGCCCTCCTCTCCTCTCCTCTCCTCTCCTCTCCTCTGTCTCCTCCAGTTGAGGCTGACTCCCCCACTTTAGCCCCGTGACACCTCCGTGAGCCTCGTTCTAGAATCTTAAACGTGTTCGCTGTTCGTTTCTAGAGCCACAGACGTTGAACCGACAGCCTCCGGAGCCTCGTCTTCATCCTCATCTTCATCTTCATCTGATTTCATTCAGTCCTAATTAAAACCTCTGGTCTGTCTCTGTTCACAGGAGACTTTTACATTTGGAGAATAAATTAAACAAACTTCAAATCTGTACCGTGAACGTCACTC